AGATATAGTTTGTCTGAGGCTGCCAGAGGGAGCATGGGTGGCAATTACTGGAAGCTAAGGTCAGAGTTGGCAAAGAACGACACATAAAATCCAAAATGGAAGGAAGGGGTTGGAAGAATAGGAAGGAAAAGTAAGGTTTCTGGCTGAGAGTCTTAGAAGCCAGGTACAATCGGGTAGGTGGAACAGGCTGAGGAAGTACAAACCGTGTGATCCCACCTAGGAAGTGTGCATCAGAGGCACACCATGCAGCTCACAGAGCCCGATGTCTTTCTTAACAAGTGAGAGGTCACTGTGCTGGGCTCTTATTAATGAGGAGATAGGAGGTCAATCAATACTCACTTATTAACAAAGAGTTACTAATGTCTTCTTAAGGGGGGTTATATCAATCTCAGACATTTCCAAACTGTCCACAATCATGTTACACAGTTTGGTCAATCCCTGGCTAAGAGTTAAAGGGCTTTAAATTAAAGTTCAGAAAATGTCTTCATTTAGGCCAGGGGTCCAGATTAGTCTTCAATTAACTCACTAGAGCCTATGTTTAACATTCACTATCATTGATTTCACACCAGATGTGACCAGATCCTGGACAGATAAAAGGTAGAAAATAGCTCTCTTTTCCTCTGAAGAGGAGAGAAAAAGGCCAGCTAGACATTACTGTACATGAGGTATGAAGCAATGTGCTTCAATAGTCATCAGGCATCTCTGAAGGCAGCCTGAATAAGTTACTTCCAATTATTTTTTTTAAATTACAGTTATCAGAAAGGCAGTAACTGTTATATAAACATAACCAAAAAGCATGTGACTGTCAACTGTTACTTCCAGGAAAAAAACAAAACACAAATTAAGGAAATAGATGGCACTCCATTTATTATAAGCAAAGACCTCTCTCTACACTAAATCAATGTGTTGAAAACTTTTAAGACCCATGGAAATTCACACAGGATTCCCATTCTTGGATCTCTCCCTAGAACGCTCTCACTCTAAGACATTCCCACTGAAAATGTAACAGGTACTTCACTTGTACTGAGCACTGCCTGACCTGAGCTTGTCTCCTCTGCAAATTAAGTCTCATATCTGGGTAAGAAATCTATAGGGATTATTGGTAACTACTGACAACATTTCTAGACACAGGGGAAAAAGTTCCTTACTATTTTTTTCAAGTATTGATTTATTGCTGTGGCTTTGGGTAACTATCTAGTTATTTCAACATCATCTGCATCCAGTTAACTCTAAAATGGCACTAACAAGGCCAAGTTCCCTTCAGAATACTTAGTTTCATAGTCTCCCAGGGCCCTAAATGTATTAAACCTGATGGAAAATGCATGTCACAAGGGAACCAAGTGAGAGATTAAGGATAAAAACTTATTGGGGAAGGGGCACCCATCAAACTACATGAGAAGTAAAAAAGTAATAAAACCACATGTTTTTTAAAAGCACATATTCTTACCATTATTAACACTAATTAACATTACTAATTGATACTGATAACTTGTATTACTATTATTTAGTATTACTAAAAATAATTTATATTGATACTTCAGTATAATAATAACAATAATACCAAAGCATACTTCATGTATGGTGGTACATCTCTTTCAATATTTGTCACATACGAGGTCTGCCCGGACAGTATTCAACCATGTACTATGAAAAACAGACATTTATTGAAGAAGATACAAGATACAAGAAACTCTGTACACAGGACAATGATGCCTCAGTCCTCTTCAAAGTAGGCACCTTATAACCTCACACAGTTCTACTAATCACCATCAGCTGCTCACTGTACTTTCCTGAATCTCATGCATGGTCTGAAATCCGTTCCCTTTCAAAAGTGATTTAAGTTTTGGGAAAAGCCAGAAGTTCCTGGGTGGTGAACCTGGGCTGTAACGGGGCTGAGTTACCTGGGTGACTTGATGTTTCACCAAAAAACTGCATGAGATGTGATACATGAGTGGGCATGTTGTCATGATGCTGCTGCCAATCACCAGTTGCCCACAGCTGCAGGATTCTGAATCATTCAAACGGTTTCCATGGAAGAATGTTGAAGCTTAATGAAAAATTTGATACAGAGTTGCTGCTCTACTCGCTCAGCCATTTTGAATGTGACAGCCACACAGTACACACATCACTCAACAGTGTCTACCACCCCACTGACTGGTACAGTGAAGTCATCATTGTTCACACATGCGCATTCCAGTCTACTCTCCTTGGCTGCCAGATTACACTGATGTTTCTCAAACCATACTTGTTATATTAACAATGGCTGAATTTTTCCAGACAAACCTTGTAAAATGTAACACTTAGATAAGTATACTGTGGGCCAGTGAATTCTACTATAGAATTCTACTACCAAAACAGAATTTGAGCCAATGATTGATTGTATGTAATACAGCTGCTTCCTATGAGGTAAGAACAAACACACATGAACTATGAATACATTTCATGTAGTTTGTCAACATGAAATAGATAACACTCCTCCAATAATAAATTACAACCCTAACTCATTTCAACTGAATTTACTTGAAGCGCCTATTCACAAGCAGAAAATTTGCTTTTTCAAAATATTCAGTCTTCTCTTTTCGGCTGCTTTCTCTTATAGCTAAAGGCCAGTGAAATGATATGACATGGTCACTTCATTAAAAAAGTGAGTAAAAAACACTACATCCTACTTCTGGGACACTTATTTATTCTTTCCAGAGCAATTCTTTCAAGTTGCTATTGATGTCACTGCCTCTACTTCCGCATAAACTTGTGTAATTATATTTAAATATTTCGCCCTGCCATTCATCTTAACAAGCACAATTACACCAGGTATTTTTTCTCATTTCCTTAAAAACTAAGAAGTAATCAACAGAAGTATAAAATATTGACTTCAGTTTATGGCACTGCTTCTTAATAAACATTTATTGAATAAATAAGTGAACCTGGATGGTCACTCTAGTGCTTCCCAATCTTTCCCTTTCGTGGCACACATGAAAAATAATGTGTATAAGGATACTGGAGTAAGAAGAAAAAAAAAGGAGCCAGGTGGCCAGAAAGTACCAGCGAAGGGCTGCCGGCACCCTGAGCTTACACTGCTACCTGGCTACCTGAGAGCTGAGAGGTGGAGGAATAATGGCAGCACAAATGAAACACCTGAAACTCATTTACAGCTTTTCAGTGTCCCCAAAATGCTAACTAGGGAGTTCTTCTCCACATTTTCTCCTATCTTGCATACTGTTAATTAAAAAATATTCTTCCTTCGGCAACTCATCCGTCCCTTGTTCTACACGATCCTGGTGGCGTAGATAACTTCAGGACCCTGACACTTCATCCACCCCCATTCTACTGAGGATAATCAATTAAAGTGACCCATTATCTTGCTATCACGATTGAGCCAATGTGGGCACGTGACCCAGGCAAAGCCCATCCAAAACCTCAACCAGTCTCTTCCCTGTGGATTGTGAATAACAGGTTATAAGGTTTTGGGCTTCCACCAGTTCGTAGAGGAAATAAACTTTGAAATGAATACATAGTCTAGACCATGGTTGTTCTAAATTCTAGAGTGAATAAAAAGTTCACAACAGATGGGTTTCTATTACTTGTAACCAAATCTACCACATGGCAATTTTCAAGCTTTTGGTTCATTCCTTCTGATTCACTCACACCGGACAGCTACTACGTGCTGGCTGTCATCACTTTTTTTGTTTGACAATCTAAGGGAAAAGAGGTCAGTGCCCCTGACTACACAGTCAGGTATTCTATGTTTTAAAACTTCAGCCACTGTATATTGGCTGACAATCACTGCTCCAGAATTTCAAAGACTCAATGAATCTCCTGAGTATTGACACACATGTGCATTGTATGCAATACATATTTTACATCAGTGGCATACACAGGTCAGGTAACCTACTGTGAAACTTCTTTAGATAATCTCCAGACATTGTTTAGGTAATAACTATTCTAAAGAGATTTTCCTATAAAATGTCAACACTGAAAGAAAACATTTGGGTAGAAGCAAGATCATTAGGGAAAGTGAAGGGAGAAATAAAGTAGAAAGCAAGTTGAAATGAGTCCCATTATACACACAAAACATCATGGGCAAAGGTACTTTGAGTACATTACAGACCCACTTGCAGAATCAGACCAGAAGAGGTCTTGTCACAAGGAAAACTCTTTGTGAGGTAGCAGTAGTTACTTTTTTGATGAAAATGGATTCCACACGCATTAATTTCATATTTTAAACATTTATCCACCTTCACTACCAAGTTTTTCCCTGTAGGACCACATAGTTTGCCATAAAGAGATGGACTTTTTCCTAATCATCTTGAAAAGAAATACAAGCAGAGATGCTAGGTTTTTCTACTTAGTTAGAAAAACCCCTTTCACAGGAGATACATTCTATAGACTCCATCCAATGGGAAAAAATAGAATATTATGCTAAATATATGGTTAGTTTAAAAAGGGGGGAGTCTTATATCTAAATGTTCTCTTATTACACTACAAGTTCAGCGCAGATAAGGAGAACTATTTATCCTCACATCTCAGCATGTTGATTAATACCCTACAAAGGAAGAAACCAATGTTTTTAGCTTATCAGATGACTAAATAAAAATAGAATCAAATTGCAACAAATTAAGAAGAGATTAATGCTTATCACATAGGCACCTTTAAACTCAATTAATTACTTTGCATCAACCCAAGAGATATGCACTTTGGAATAGGATGCAAGAGTTAACAAAAGAATTACAAATTCACAAATCCACCAACAAACAAAAACACCAAAATAGCATCATATGCAAATTTCCTTGCAAAATATGCTTTCATTAAAGATCTTTTACATCATTAAGTACATATAACTCAGAGTGAGCAGAAAAAACAACAAGTTAGGATATTAAGGATAGCAAAAAAGAAAAAAAATCAACCCATAATTTAAAAATCATCCACAAAGTAAGAATAACCTATAATTCCAGTAGTTAAGCTTTAACCTCCATAACCGCTCCATTACTGTCTTTCATTACCTGAGAAGAATCTGCTTGGGCTAATTCTGTAGTGACCTTTAGTATTTGGCGAAGATTTCGTCCTTTATCTTCAACAAGGAGGTGAACCAGCAGAAGAAAAACATGCTCAGGGATCACAGTAGTAATAGGGAGCAAGGACTCCACTGAAGCCAACCAGTCACTCACTGCAGACTCTTCACTCAGTACTTCAAGGATCCTCCAGGCTGTACATACTGAACCATATGTGCTGGTTATGGGAAATGCAAGCTTGTAGGACAGCTGAAAAATAAATGCAAAAAAGGCATGAGCAAAAGAGGTAAATGTATCGGTCAAAAATGTATTTGACATTCATTTATATTTTATATTTCACTGTAAGACATAAATCCTTCCAACAAAATGAATACAGAATTTTCAATGCCTGTCCCAACCTTCTCTGCATGTACTTGAGCTAAAGGAATTACACAAGAAGAAAATAGTTGTTACAAGGAACTCTAGAACAGTTTATCAGTACTTTTCCTCTTGCTCACCATTCACTCCCAGTTAAGGCAGAAAAAAAAAATGAATCAATAAATAAGATCCAGAGGCAAAACAGTTTGGAAAAGTCATTATCACTAAGAAAGTATTCTCTAGTAAGAGGGGAAAATAGGAAATGAAAACAAAAACACTGCATTTGCCCAGCTCCAGACGCTGGCAAGAGGCAGCCCTGGGCAAATGGCAAACTTGGACTGAGAACAATTTATTTTTATAATAGACAGTATGTTGTCAGGAACAGGTTGACTCAGCTGGAGCCTGGGAATTCACTTATAATTGTGAATAACTTCTGCAATAGGAAATAGCCTGACAGTTCTCAACTGAAATGACACCCAAAGATGATGTTATGCTTAAGTCAACCTGAAGTGGCTCCTCAGAAACAAAACAGCGCGGTCAGGGACAGAGAATAGATAGAACTCTGCCAAGGTGAACTGTGTACCCAAATGGCTCAGGAGAAGCCACAGACATAAAGAAGCATTAGATACAGCCTGCTAATAAAATAATTTAATTAAGAGTATAATTAGATATAAATTAGAAATCTCTAGATTATAACCATCTTGCTACTGAAGACTGATTTATACAGACAAGGATAACAATGGAAAGAATGGGGAGTAAAAGTTACGCTTTATAAATTTTTTAAGTAACAGTTTTATTGAGCTATAACTCAAAATCCATCCTTTTAAAATTAACAACAGCTCAATGGATTTTAGTAATTCATAGAGTTGTCCCCACTGGGGAGCTGTCCTGCAACCCAAGCATGTGCCCTGACTGGGAATCGAACCTGCAACCTGTTAGTTCACAGGCCAACACTCAATCCTCTGAGTGACACCAGCCAGGGCCCTAGGTTTCATTTTCTTTTGGAGAGGGTGGAATTGACAAGGTGGGAACTGGACAACCAAGAAGGGTGAGAAGGAGACTACTCATTGTATACCTTTTCATATGTTTTGAACCATTTTTATGTATTATAATTTATTAAAATTATAAATTTTTAAAATTAAATACCTAAATTTATTATAGCCCTCTCTCTCTCTCTCTCTCTCTATATATATATATATATATATATGTATGTGTGTATATATATATATATAAATAAATACTTTTTTCCTAAAATGAAATTCATTAAAGACTAGAGTCAATTTCTTTAGACTAATAACGAACAGCACTGGACTTGAGATTTCAAAGATAAGGATTTCAGCACAGCCATGGCAACTACTAGCTGTTACACAATCTGTCTGAAGCAGCCTTTTTTCATTTGTAACATGGAAGTTATGACTACCTTCCTGCAAGATTACTGAGGTAGATAGTGAGATAATATGAATCAAGTGCCTAGCACAGTATCTAAAGTTGCAAAATACAGGGAAATATTATCAGTGTCATCTTTAGGAGAGAAAAATAAAACTGGTAGATAAGAGTATAAAAGAAAATAATTGGAAATCACCATGAACCACAAATTAAGCCAAAAGAAGCAATATTACACAGACATGTATCAGTAATATATTGAAACAGAAAAGAAATCCTACTTTGCTTGAACTGCTATGTCCAGGTTTGGGCTCTGTTTCTTGTTTGCTTGCCTTAAGTTAGAGTAGCAGGAGGCAGGCACAGTGCTGAGTAAGGTATCACGGGACAGTCTCTCTGGTCCAAGGAGGGACTGGTAGAGTTCCCTGGTGCAAGGATGCAACAAAGGGTTTTCTCTCAAATCCTGGCCCTCCAGCCTACGGGAGGACCTGTGGATGTGCTAGTAGGCTATGTGTTAGAGCAGAAAGTGGGTGTTTACAAATGAGAGAGGCTTATGTTAGATGTACTATATCTCAACAAAAAATAAAAGGCCATACAAAAGTAGCATTTCAATGAATATTACATGGTTGTAGTAAAACATCCTTTATGGATATAAAAGACTTAAGAATCTTTATTTTAAAACAATACAAATTTTTATTAACTTTAAAGAATAATACTCATCCCCTCATAGTAACTAAAACAGGCTTAACAAAAATGGAGCAAAGAGCTGATCAGGAGAAGGAGTATGGAAACTCACACCCGGAGGCCTTTAAGATAGGTTTTGTTAGAAGGGATTTAATCACTCACGGTACCAGAAACAGAAGACTGGATTAGATTAAAGCCTCAAGTGGGTCTTTCTGCTGTCTACCTTTAGGAAGAATCTACTCCAGAGCTGAGAGGTTTAGGGGTGGCTGATTACTACCTAAAGATAACCCACACCCTCCTCTGTATCCATAGTAATCAGAACATACAGATAGAAGCATAAGATCTAAGACTTACTAATTCCTTTCAACTTTCAACTAAAAGCTTTTAAGAAAGCAGTTTACTTCTACTTACTACTGATTTACTATTTCCCTGTAACTCCTGTTATTTACTAATGAATAATTATTTGTATTAAATTTTCCTTTGTTCAAATTACCAGAGTGGTTTCTGCCTCCTGACTGAACCCTGACTCAAACACAGGTGCATTCTCCCCCTACCCACCTCTGCCACGTTCTCCGGGGGCAAGGGCAGCAGGATTTTAAGCACTTTAGAACTTAGAACCAGTGTTTGATTTTTTTTTAACCTAGGAGAACACAAATAGCCTAATAGAAAAGGATCCTGTTTTCCACACAGTGCTCAAAAATGTTACGTTTACTAGATTATATTAACGTTTTATTTTAAAGAGATGAATGCCTAGTTTGGTATCTTACATGTTTTAATTCTTAAAAGTAAAAAGAAACTAAAATGTATTTCATGGTCATCAACACTTCAGACGCAGGACAGGCAATACAGAACTGCAGGGCACAGGGTATGCACTCCTGCTCTCGTGCACCAGGACTCGGCTTCTGAAGACCTGCGCTAGCTCTAAACCAAACACTCTAAGTAGGAGTCACCAATTTACAGTGAACTACTAAAAACAAAAACAACCATGGTCTTTCCATAGTAAATCAAGATGGTAAAATGACCTTATCAGAAGCACACATTGCTCACTGAACAGAAATTTACTGAATGTCAACCATGTGCTAAACAATGGGTCAGATGTATAGGATAGGATGACAAGATCGGTTAGGATGTTACCTATTTCTTTAAGTATGTGGAAAATAGTGAAGTATTTAATTTAATAATTAGCTAAAATATTTCTGATTATCTCATTTATGGTCAGCTAAAAAAGATAAAGCAGAAATGTTTTGAGTGGAAAAAAATATAAAAAATTTCAACAATTGCTGCAATTTAAATATTAACATGCTTGGAAAATAAAGGCAAAGCATGAAAAGAGCCAAGATTCTTTCCCTCAGTGAGCTCATAGCATAGCTGGAGGTACAAATATGTTGCCGCCTAAATTAAACAAAACATTACTGAGTCAAGTGCTATGGATGCAAAGACGAGTAGTAACTAATTCTGCCTCAGGGAGGCTGAGAACTTTTAGATGGGTCTTAAAGGATGAATAGGTCAGGCAAAGACTCTGGAAAACACTTGGAGACTTTGGAGCATGTTAAAACTATAAGTATGCCTGGAATACAGAGTCCAGGACAGGTACAGAAGAAAAGCCAAAAGGCTTAAATTTTTAGAAAGGGTGATCATGTATCTACTACAAGCCTGAAAGCACCACACTATCATCAGGAGGTGTTTATATCTCTAATAGTATTCCTCCCTCCTCTGTCTCTCCCGGCTGCTGAAGAGAAAGCCTCACTATTAGTGTTGGTAAGATTCACACACCTGAGCAAATAGTAAGCTGAGTACTTTAGTATTAGAGTTAGGGTGATCCTCAGTAAATATCACTTATGATTTAAAGGAACAGAGCTCTTAAACACAGTACATCCTGCCAAGCTCCCAGCCCCATTCAGAATCCAATCATTGTTCCGCATGGGCAAGTCAAAAGGGAAGGTAAAAAGCTACTAGAAAATTTTGGCTACGTTTTATACTCCCATTAGGGCAGATGTAAGAATTTCCTTCTCTTAATACAAATCAATTACATATTTCGAGTTTTAAAGATTCAGTCAAACAATAAGAATTTAGGAAGCTACAGGATACATTCGATTTGCCTATGGGCTAGTTTCTGTTGCTTGTTCTAACAAATAGCAATGCCTGGATTTCTACTGCGAGGACATTTAACAATACTAGAGGTATCTGCTTTTGCAGGTGGAACAACTATGGCCCTAGCTTGCATTTATGTAATTCCTTTCTCCATGGAAACTTAAGATGCTTCACCAGTTTTATCTCATTGTACCCTCATTTAATCCCCATAAAAGTAATAATTGGGAAGTAATAAGTTTCACTGAAGACAAACTGAAATAGCAAAAGAGAGAAGGTCTGACGAATATAGGCCGAGAACCCAGCCATCATCCAGACACTCACAACACGATGATGTACAAAGGAACAGAACAGTGAGACTGACAGGGCGGAATGGGTAGGCCCAGCAGGCAGGAGGAGGGAGGGAGTATGACCGTCCTGCCATCTTCCAGCTGAAGGCAGCAGAGCAGGGCACACATAGGAGACACCAACGGCCAGTATGTTAGGGAATGTGGCCCAAGGTGCCCTATTCAAAAGTGAAGTCTTAGTTCTTACAGATCCCAGAACGTCAGGGAGGTTCCCCACCGTGGACTGTCCCAGATCCAGCAATATGCTGCCCTTACCAAACAGTATGACTAGAAAAAAAAGGAGTCCATGGTCAAATAAGTAGAAGAAGCACTGGGTTAAACAGAACTAGTTCCTTTTCTGCAGGATTACTCAGGACCTTTAATTACTAATGCACACTGGAAACAGAAGAAAAGATCACACAGCATTTCCACCCTGGCCAGTGTGGCTCAGTTGGTTGGAGCCTTAACCTGTAAGCTGAAAGGTCGCAGGACTGATTCCCGGTCAGGGCACCGGCCTAGGCTCAGGGTTCAGTCCCTGGTCAGAGTACATGCAAGAGATAACCTATCAATATTTCTCTCCCCCTCTCTCTTCCTCCTTTCCTCTCTAAAATATCAATAAAGCATGTCCTCAATGAGGATAAAATTATACAGCATTTCCAAAACTTATTTTACAACAGGATTATCCTTCCCTTTCACTATCCAGAAAAATATACTAACATGGACAAAACTGCCTGCCTGACAATATGGTAAAGTCCACAAAGACAGTTTAAACCCAAACACGTACTTCATCAGAAGGTGAGGTCGTCTGCAGAGACACGTAAATCCCGTATTACCAGTTTCCCTTTATTTAAGGGAACCAAGGATGGACTGCATTACCTTTTGGCGGTCATCTCTACAGCACTCCTGCTGTACTGCTTCCAGAAGCTTTAGAGCCAACTGCTGCCGCGAGGGACCGTCTTCATCCATGGACATGCAGTCTTCCAAGGCAGTAGAAGATAATATCTGCAGGACTGGCATTACCAGCAGCGAGGATGACTGTGGAATTTTCTGACCCTCAGCAAAAGAGAGGAGCTTCAAAGCTATTCATCAAAACAACAATTGGTGTTTTTAAAAAATTAGTACCATGCTAAACAAAATGCTATTTTATTAAAGGGTGATATGCAAGAAGTTTTCTTAGCCCTATACAACTGGGTCAGACATATAAAGAAGATGATAAATCTTATTTTTTGGAAATAAAAGGAACATAAAAGTTAACTAGCATCTAAAGTAATTTGTTTCTATATATAAATGAAAACCTAATACATATCATATATCATAAAGTATAAATCAACTCTTTCTTTGGTCAATACAAATTTCTTTGAAATACAGTCCAACTTTTGTCCCTGTTCTGTCAGATCCCTGCACTGCCTTCAACAGACATGGCCAAGAGACCACCCAGCTTCTCGTCAGTGGGTAGCGAGGCTGATGCATGTGCTTCCCTTACAAGCCCAGCTGAGAATTATATGAAGAGATTAGTAAATACACAAGCTGAAACAGGGTTATCTTTCCATTTTAATTACTAAGAAACAGATCAGGGAAGTCCCAAAGTTCATAAACAGCATAACAGTCAAACCCAGTTTTACAAATGATTTTTCTTTTAACATGGAAACTCAATTTCCACATCAGAACCATATGAGCAAATGTACAATGACTTAGTTAAATGTATGGTCTTCCCTAGACTAACAGCAGACTGAATTAAGGCATAAATGAACTTTTTTCATGGTTATCAAATGAACCCTGAGTTACTGAATGATGTTATTCATAGACTTCCAAGCTATAATAAATTATCAAACCAATGAACTGATATGCCTACTACAACAAAAACAAAAAACTCTACAAGCCTTAAATCATGTCAGTGAGTTGCCAGTATTTGCTATTTAATCACCTGGAAGTCAAACCTGAATATGGTATGAAGTACAAATATAGTATGAAGTACTTCATATTATTAGAAGAAACAGAGAAACTATTTCTCTAACTATTAATTTACATTTTTCCCTAAATATTACTTTTAACACACAATTGTCTCTGAGATACATTGAAAATTCATTATGTTTAACAAAGCAGGAAATGCATATAATACAAATATTTATATATTCTATATTATAAATCTTTCAGGCATTTTTGTAAATTGCTATTTACAATCAAAGCTGGGGTTAATCATTAAAAGCATAATATTGTTAATGTGGTACATTTTTCAAACTTGAACTAATCAATATACTCTTGGTTATTCTATTTCTTTGAATACTTGTCCCCAATATAATAAACAATAGTTCTTCCTTACTTTTCAACAAAACATACTGGCTCAGTAATTTCCAATATGATTTATTCAAGCTAACTAAATTAACTTCCAATCGAAGATACAGGCTCATGAAACAAAAACTCTAATATCCAGCAAATCAAAATTGTTGGAGTGTTTGGGCCTGTAGAATCCTGTTACACATGAAACACAACAAGAGTGTAGTTTCGGAATTAAAAATGGGCTTTCCCGACAGCTTTGAAATTTCTTTTTGTCAAAAAAGACATTAGTGCTTGTCTGGGGCTGAGGATTAACTGTAAGTGGGCACAGACACTTGCCAGGGGGGAGGGTGACGGAAATGTTCAAAAACTGAATTGTGGTTCTGGTGGCATACCTCTGCAAATTTAGTGAAAGGACACTTTACAGTTAAAATGGTAAAAATCATGGTAAATAAGTAATATCTCAATAAAGCTGTTTAAAAACCTATGGTTGTCAGAAGCAGCAGCACTCGGAAACCAGACAAATGGGAGGATGCCATGAGCTCTGTTATAAGAAAAAGAGAGCCCTGGCTGGTGTGGCTCAGTGGATGGAGCGCGAGCCTGTGAAGCAAAGGGTCGCTGGTTCGATTCCCAGTCAGGGCATGTGCCTGAGTTGCAGGCCAGGTCCCCAGTAGGACACACATGAGAGGCAACCACACACTGATGTTTCTCTCCCACTGTTCTTCCCTTCCCCTCTCTCTAAAAATAATTAAATATTTTTAAAAAAAGAAAAAGAGGACGAGTGACGAAGGCACAAATGAGCGTAAGTCTGATAGGCAAAAGCAGGGTAGAAATCAATCAAACCCAAAAAGTCAAGCGGCTCTTCCACATGCTAAAGTTGTTACCAATGTAGACTATAAGTGCAAGTGCAATTCACCCTCAAAACCATAATGAATTAAAATGCCTAGAATAATAAACTACACAATCGGCAATTACCTCAAGCATGTTTCTAAAATGAGGGTGGGAATGTATCAGTGTATCATTCTACTATACAACATAATTTTTTTAAATTTATTGATTTTAAAGAGAGAGAAAGGGGAGGGGGGAGAGAGATCAGTTTGTTAATCCACTTATTTGTGCATTCACTGGTTGTTTCTTGTATGTGCCCTGACAGAAGACTGAACCTGCAACCTCAGCATATCAAGATGAAACTCTAACCTAACCAGCTGAGCCACCCTGCCAGGGCTTCTATACAACATAATTTAGACAGAGTCTCCAATACCACATAGATTATACTAGACCAAATAAAGCCAGGCAACTTTAATGTAAAAGCTGCAATTAAAGGTGAGACTTACTTGCCACCTTGATTCTTTACCACATTATTCTTAAACAGAACATTTTTACCTCCCTTTAGCCCCATTCCTCACTTTTCTTCAAATCACATTAGACAGTCAGAAGAATGTTACCTTTCATTTGTTCTAGATTAGTTAATACAATAACCATAAATTAAATCTTGTGCAATGTGGCAAGAGTTTTGAATAGTAAGGGTACATAATTTTAAAAAACAAATATAAATGCTAAACATTTGTTTTGTTTCAAGGGTTTTATGCTATTGGTTCTCAGTATGTTGTACCACTGCCCTTCAAGATATTTATCAATGTCATTGCTACAAGATTCACATTGAAATGTCCTAACAAACAGCCAAAATACTTAGTAGGTTCTGACACATGGAACCTTGTTGGACAAGAAAAAGAAGGTTTTAGGTGATAATGATTAATTCAAAAATTTCCAGAACGGAAACGTAAAATATACAGGATTTTATAGCATAACAGGATATACATAGTTCAAGTGACTACTACCAACACTCCTGTTACATCTACTTTTTACTCTAACGAGTACATGTTTATTTACCGAGACTTAAGATGGGCTTCTGCTGACTTGCTGGAGTCTGTAAAAGCAGCAAAGCTATTCCAATCATGACCAGTTCAACAGGAAAATCCTGAAGAAGAAAACAAAAGGCGCTGCTGAGAGGCCCAGAGCCATGGCTTTATAACACGTATCCAGGAAGAGTATGCTCTACATGACAGATTATAAACCTATGACAGTTGTCCCTCCATACCTGTGGGCTCCATATTCACAGATTCAACCAACTACAAATCAATAACATCTTTTTAAAAATGTTACGTTGTTGTTGACATTTACTATGTACTTAAGACCTACAATGGTTGTACCTGTACCAAAGAGGTACAGGGTTCTTTTTCTTGTCATTATTCTCTATTATTCCCTAAGCAATACATTATAACAACTATTTACATAGCATTTACATTGTATTAGGTATTATAAATAGTCTAGAGATGATTTAAGGCACACAGAAGGCTGTGCATAGACTATCTGCAGAAACTACATTATTTTATGTAAGAAACTTGAGCATCACTAAGGTTGGTATCCACAAGGGTCCTGAAACCAATCCTCCAAGGACACCAAGGGATGACTATATACAAAATACCTACAGTACACCTGCTCTACTAAAGGAAGAATTGGTGAATGTCTGAGAAGTCATATATAAATTCCAAACCTTATCATATCTGAACAAGAAGCAATAGGCCAAAAAAAATTAGAGGAATAACACCTTAACACAATAGAGCTGCAAGTTTTGAAAACAGAATCTTTGCAAGCCACTGAAAACTACCTGAAATTCTTAAGAATATTTCATTTCTGAAAAGTAGCTCAATTGTCTACTTACCTAATACAGACATGATTCACCCATCTAATTTGCATAATGAATTACACTAAACAAATTTTAATAAATCACATTATAATAAAAGAAACATTAGTACCCAGGGAGGCAGAGATTATTTATAAATTATAGTAATTTATTAAGCACAATTAAATGCAGCAAAGCAATAACCATAGAAAGTTAAAATTATTAATTTCACTAGGTTTTTGAACAAAATGAAAAAGAGAAGGCTACACACATTAAGTTCCAATAAATAAGATGCAAATGACATTAGATGTTATTTGAGGATTCTAAATACAGAGAAAATGAATGCATTGTGGAACTAAAGAAGAAAGGTCCACCACGTGTTGCTAAAATGACTTCATTCTGAAATTTTATGGAAGTGCCTACAGAAGAGAAATACCTATAAATAATGAGGACAGGCAAAGAGAAAAAAGGACATGTGAGGTAGAGCCACGTCAAAGAAACATCTGAGAGAAAACAGTCTGAGCCATTCAGAAGTCACAGTCTTGGAGATGCCATCAACTCTGGCACAAATGAATAAATATATATCTATAAATCTGGGTTATACATATTAAAAGGTAAAATTAACTCTGAGTGGTTTGGCTCAGTGGACTGAGTGCTGGCCCGCAAACCAAAGGGTCACCAGTTTGATTCCCAGTCGAGGCACATGCCTGGGTTGCAGGCCAGGTCTCCAGTAGGGGGCATATGGGTGGCAACCCTACACTGATGTTTCTTTCCCTCTTTTTCTCCCTCCCTTCCAAAAATAAATAAAATCTTTTTTTTTTAAGGTGAAATTAATTAAACTGCAAAATCTTCTAGAGTGCTTGTTTATGAACTTCAAAAACTCAACTAAAGAGGAAAATTAATTTGTGGATATTCTGGAATGAAATATATTATAATTTGCGTTTTTGCATCTTACATATAGTCGTTTTTTTTAAAATACCATCAACAACCATGAAGCAACTGTTACCTATTTGAAGACAATAAATGCACTTGAAACAAATACACTTACAGTATATACCATCACACTTCTCTTTCCCATTATCTTTTCCTCAATTTCATTTCAAACTGTGCAAGTGCATAAGAACACAAAAAAGAAAACCAGCACAGGAATTCAAATTTCAAACTTACTGGCTACCAAGAGGATCAGAGACAAAAGTATTACTGTATGCTAATGTTATCACTGGAAAGCCTTTTCACACAAGCTGTCACCGAAAGGGTCACAGTGTAGCTCTTCAGGGTTCTTCAATGGCCTACAAGCATTTTAAGTGGATGGAACTTAAAGGTATGAAGGCATAAACAAGACTAGCCTGTTCAGAATAGAGGGTGAAAGAAAAACAGCTAGAGATTCAGGACATCAAAAATAGGAAAAAGTAATTGTGGAGGATTAAACTAAATAATTTTAAACTACTTACACTTCTGAGAGGTTACAAGGTTTTTGTTTGATTTTTCTCTTTATTTTTTATATATCTGTATCAAAAAATTTTTAAGGTTTTATTTATTTATTTTTTAGAGAGACAGAAAGGGAGGGAGGAAGTGAAGGAGAGAAACATCAATGTGTGGTTGCCTCTCACGTGGCCCCCCAAGGACCTGGCTCGTAACCCTGGCATGTGCCCTGACTGGGAATCAAACCAGTGACCCTTTGTTTCACAGCCCGCGCTCAATCCACTAAGCTACACCAGCCAGGGTGTGTATTAAAATTTTTATCAGGTACAATTCTGTTAATTATAGACGAAGAATATAAAAGTTTTTGGTGTACAATAGGAAAAGGTTAAGTGTGGATCCTTCCTTGCTCCTTAAGGCAGGTGAAAGATCCTCCAATGGCTGATTTTTTTAAATTGTTGACACCATCACATGTGATTGATTGATTTTTGATGGGCATCAAAAATGGTACCATTTCATGAGATCTTTTAATAAAAGCCTGTGTTGGACATGCCATGTGCTACTTCAAACACTACAGCCACTGCTGTAGCTACTCTTGCTTCCTGCCCAGACCAGTAAGAGATGCAGAAGCACAGGGACGTTAAAGCCCCACAGGCCAAGGCTTGAGAAATGGGCAAGAGAAGCCCAAGGACAAATACCTTCCCCTTCCTTCAGGAAGATTCTGAGATATACATTCTACTTCTCGGAATATTCTGTGGGATGGAGCAACTGGTTGCTTGTAGCAGTGGTCAACCTGATAACACAGTTAAACCTCAGTTCTCAAACATCTCAGCTCTGGAACAATTCAATTCTCGGCCAAGTTGTTTATAGAAAAAAATATCTCAGATGCCCAACAAAACTTCACTTTCTGATTCTCCACCCAGTAACCCCCTCATGTTAATACCTATATGATCAGTCAGGTGTCTCTCGGGCAACAAAGGAGATTCAGTTTTTGAACAAACCACTTCTCCGACAGTTTTCCAGAATGAGGTTTGAGAACAGAGGTTCCGCTGTACTTCTACTGACTCTTCTTGTCCCTCTCCCACCTGCTTCCTATGATCACACTTGCAAATGAACTCCTGCCACATCAGCCTCAGGTTTGTGGAAACACAATGGGGTACATTAGACCAGAGATTACCAGACTCAGGCAAGGGACCCCAATTTGAGCAGGGTACCCTAGATAAGGTGAGGGCCAGCCACTTCCCACTCAGAAGGAAGGGAACTGCAGAAGTGCTGGTTAGGAGGCACTCAGGGGGCAGATTACAATAGCAACCCTGAGCTGAGGGGGCCGGATGCTGCCGGGCAAAGAGAGGCCTGCGTGTGGCTGAGGAACTTCTGCCCTTACTAAAAATGGCAGCAAAACAGGGTCAAGGAAGCTAGGTCTTTCAATACTTACAGAATGGGGCAAAGGTAAGTTTACGGTTATTCATGTGGAATCCAATAATTAATAATAATATAAGAATAAACTGTTTTGCATGCTCACAACTGTAGACCTACTTCTGCCTCGCCCTTTGTATTTCAAGAAAAAAAAGTGAGGGGGGGCATGGAGGGGGACACCTTTAGTGTCAGATACCTGAAAGATCATGCATGCCAAAAGGATACCATGTGTAGGCGCACACATTTAGGTGTTAAAACTATTTTAAACATGTAAGAAAGATATTCCTATAGAAGTCAGGGTGGTCAGGGAACAGAGAAGTTTGTGATTAATGTAACAGGGTGCAGAGCTGGGGGTGGGGGGCAAAAAGAGCAAATCATACTCACCACAGCCCATGGTAGGGAATGTGGGAAGCACATGATATGGTGAGAAGATATTTTCATAACAAAAGACAAGTTAATTGCTGTGCAGCTGCCCCAGGGGAAATGTGGACATGACTCTAAGAGCATTCACTGACTTGTGACATGGCCGGGGCAGGTGGCTCACCTGGATGTCCTGTGTCATGGGGTACTCTTGCCCTGACTAAAGATGGCAGCCCAATGAAGGTAAAAAGATTCAGGAACTGGCAAAAGCAGCTCATTGTAGGAGGGACTGGATGCCAGGTCATATAGGAAGTTCTGGGTGAAATTTTAAAATAAGGGCAGGCAGCCGTAAATAGCATCCATGCAGTTTGAAAGGGTATAGAAGGGCCATCCGCCCGCCAGCCATGAGGACAGTAGTGAGTGGCGGCCATAAGGAAGGCAGCCATGAGGAAGGAGGATTCGGCCATGAAGTGTGGTGTGTAAGGAGGTGCCACACGGTCTGAAGTAAGGAGATGCCATGCAGTTTTGGATTACGAGCTGGAGTACAAGAGGAGACCTGCTAGGAAACCTGCTTGGAGAACACAGAGGCAGATCTGATGCAGCTGGGAATTATGGGGACCTGCCTCATCACACATGGATGAGTGGGAGATGCCTGGAATGCTGAACAATGTACCAGGAATGCTGAGCCACGGACTTCTGCTTTTCTGAAAAATCATACCTCTTACTGGTATATTCCGAAACTGGCCTGGTTTGGCAAAGCAGGGCAGGATTATATGTTTTCTAGGTGTTTTAAAGGGAGTGGGACTTAACAGAAGAAATCCACCATTATTCTGAATCTATATAAGCTTTAAATAAACAACCCTTTCCTTTTTCCCCAAACTTTTGCATTGGGAGTCATGCTTTTTGGCAGTGGGCAATCGAACCCCACAGGTGTTCCAGAACAGCATAGGTGGCGGGGTTCTGTAACATTAGGATGGAGCTTGTGGGAAACTTCTGTGGCGGCTGAAAGAGTTCATACTGTGTGATACTTACTAGGGTGTTTGCCTTATATGCGGTGGGGGAAGTGGGGCATCACCTGAGGATCTAGTTTAAAAATCCAGATGCTTAAGGCCCACTCAGCTAGTCAGTATCTATAGAGGTAAGACCCAGGCACTTGCATTTTAATAAAGTCTGCCTAGTGATTTTTATGCACACTTGTTTGAACCGTTTCACTGGAAGGTAAGCTTCACAACCCTTGTTTGTTTTCACCTAATTATTTGTAGCAAAGTGTTTGCTATAGAAGCTTAATAAATATATACTAAATGTGTATGTGGGAGAGGGGCAGCTATACAATAAAATGGTCAGAGAATGACAGTAATTTTATAGTAACTCTACAAAATTATAATTGATATTATGCCCACTATTCAAATGAACCTGGTACAACCATAAAGAAAAATATGAGGTATAGTTAAAACACACAACTCCAGTAATTTAGCTATATTTTATATAATATTTAGCCATAAAATGTTTATATTTTTCTATATATTATTTATCATATATCTAATAGGTATAACTATGCATGATATAATTATATAGGTATATAATATAGGTATAATTATATATCTAAATGTGATATATGATATTATATATATTTATATAATAGGTATTCTATGACAGATATATATTACTATATATTAAGGCATATTGTATATAGTAGATAATACATGCAATATTATAACATAAATATATCATTATATAACAGTATAAAATAGCATTATCTATAAAGCCCCAACATATGTGAAATCCCTGTAACCACAAGACTGACAAATTGACAAATGAATTATCTGAGCCTTCATCAAGTCCCTCCTTTCACAACAACCTCTCCCTTTCCTTACTGGCCACTCTCTTCATCCAATTTGGTTCCTGCCACCACCACTCCACTAAACCTGCTTCCTCCAATGTGAACAACCAACTGCTCACTGCATCACAAGAGTATCCTGACTTTATACCTCTTACTTTAAATCCTCTCTCCATGCCACTGTCGCCCATTCCCCTTTTTGAGATCTCCCTTCCCTTGCTTTTCATGCCACCCGTCTCTTCTGTTGGTCGTACAATCTTCTAGCCATACTCTCCCAGACTCCTCTTCACCAGCACACAAGCCTTGTCCTGCAGTCCCAGAGTAAATCTCTGATCACAAAGTAAGTATCTACAAAGCTATACCTTTAGCTTAGGCTTCCATCCAGAATTTTAAAACCATGCAGCCAATAATTTATGATGCATACATACCTTAAACCAAGCATATCTCAGACAAAATTTACCATTTTCCCTCTAACACCAGCCCCCATTTCTCAAAATGAATGGCACTACCCAGTTGTACAAAATAGAAATCTCACACTCTACCAAGGACCCTCTCCTTCACCATCTAATCAACCACAAGGCCTACTGGCTTTAATCTCCTATATTTTTCTTTTCCCATTTCATTTCCCTAATTAGCACCTTGCTACAAACTAACTTGTGTCCTTCCAACCCCAAATTCACTCGCTGAAGCCCTATCTGCCAATATAAGTGTTTGGAGTAAAGAAGCAATTAAAGTTAAATGCGGTCCTAAGAGTGAGGCCTTTACCAGTCAGATTAGTGTCCTTTTAAGAAGAAACAATACAGAGCTCACTCTTGCTCTCTACCATGTGAGGACACAGCAAGACAGCCCTTTCCAGGAATCAAATCAGCCAACATCCTGATCTTGAACTTTCTAGTCTCTAGAACTGGAAGGAAAAAATTCTGTTCTTTAAGCTATCCAGTCTGTGGTACTTTGCTATGGCAGCCCTGGCAGTCTAAGGCATCCCTCCTCACTTCCTGCCCTGTGTGTGCTGCCCTTCTCTAAACCCTCCTCTACTCTACCATCAGAATGACCTTCCACACACAAAATAGCAAGGCACCTCTATGCATCCTATTACCTAGAAGATAAAATGCATACTCAAGTATTATCTCCTGTACCTTAATCCTTCAACAACACCTTCAACACTCAACACCTTTTTGTTTTCTGAAGAGGCCACACTTGCCTGCCAGCCTGCCTGCCTGCCTGCCCTCTCATATTTCCGAGTTTCAGCACGTGCTGTTCCAGCAGCTGGAATGCCTTCCCAGTCTCTGGTGTGTACTAGGGAAAGTCCCACTCAGACTTCTCAAATCTAAACCCATGCCCTACTTTCCCTAATTGTGATCTTTAAATATATTAAAGCATTTACCTTATTGTTTTACAACTACTTGTTTGCATGTCTGTAAGTCCCTTGAGGTCACAATGTACCTTTTCATCTATGTATTCTATAGGGTTTGGCATACAATAAATATTAATTACTTGTGTTCTACATGAATAAATGAAAAAAATGTCAAAGTGGTAGATCCTTAACTGAAGCTCTAAAGCAGGAGTATCGCACTCATTTCCACCGGGGGCCACATCAGCCTCATGCATGGTTGCCTTCAAAAGGCTGAATGTAGAGCTCGTTGCCCCTAGTTAAGGAGCAGTTACATTTATACAGCCCTAAAATTACATTTGGCCCTTTGAAGGCAACCGCGAGGCTGATGTGGCCCCCCAGTGAAAATGAGTTTGACACCTCTGCTCTAAAGAGTATTTAATGATTCATTTTTATAATAAATAATATTAGTAGTTGTGGTACATTAGCACTGTGATTTAATCATGTTAGAGCAACACACCTTTGATATAAAGAGCACATCCACCCAGCTTCTTTATAAAAGACTCACTTAAGTGATAACTGACATCAACATTTATTACTATTCTTACCTCCCTCAGAAGTTCAACACTGTTTGCCAAAAGGTGAATTAAAGATGAGCATTCCCCAGTTATCTTTAAGCTGACTTCACAGACACACAGCAGCTGAAGGGTCAGCTGGGTAAGCTGAATTTTCCAGAAAACAGGATGACGCGAAAGGCTTAAATATACCTCCTCCATGAACAGCATCACTTCTGTGGTCTGCATCAAATCTTTTATCTGTTTAAAAAAGTCATTATATGATCATTACAATAATGTACAAACCAAAGAATAATTTAAAGCTATACAAGAAACCTTAACAATAAAATATTTTTTCAAAACCTGTAAAGCCTTAAGAAGATGCAGAAATGTACAGAACTCAAGTACAGTTAGACTATACAACCCCGCCTTTTCCTTTTGTCGCTAAACAAAATACAACTTATGATTGTTTTATTACTGCTGTCTGACACCAGGCGTTTTCACTAATTTTTCTAACTTCTCTAAGTACATATTTCTTCAGCCAAATTATACAACAGCGTCAACATTTTGAAGGAAATTAAATTTGGTTTTGAGCTCTCCAAATGAACTCTCCTTTCTGCAACTGCAACACAATTACCTGGTAGAGAAGGGTTAGCATATTGGTCTAAAGCACTATTAAGTCCTTCATCTGCCAAGGTGTTTTCTCAGAAAACCTTAACTGAGAACATCGTTTTCAGTCTCAGCAGGTATGAGGAAAGAGCATATTCAAATGGTAGAATATCTTCTCAATTAGGTAGGAAAGACATGGATGCTCTTGAAAAATCTCAATTCAATTCTAACCCAGCTGTTCTGATCAAAATTCTGGAGTTGGTATTAAGGACATGGTCCTTCTAGCAGACACATTGGAATTCCCTAGAGATTACAAACAAAAAACCATCTACTTCAATCAGAAGCCTGTGTCTATCAAACTCATCAAGAGGAAAGCCCTACAGTCACCCAGCTGTACCTTTCACCAGTCACTACCGCCATAATAACCCCAGATGACTATACATCTAACACAAAGAGAAAAAAATTAATTCTTAGAAAACAAGACAAAAAAAGATAATAAGATCAAGTGGGAGGATATAGCAGAAAATATTGTTGTATAAATGTGAAGGTTCAGTAAATTATTTAGCTCTTTTCAAATATATGGTGGTTGAGGCAAAGGGCCATCAAGAAAAAAAAGGGATTTAAAATGAAGTAAAGCTTCATGTTTGATATTTTGTGCATATTTCAAATTTTTCATAATAAAAGAAATTTTGAAAGGCAATCTCAGCAATTTATCATACAAAGATTACAAAGGGCTCTGTAATCTTTATCATGACCAAAATTCTTAACAAGGACAGCTTTCAAGTAATGTTCTCTCTTTATGTAGATATAGACCACATGCAATGAACAACATGCACAATGACAAGAGTCGTAATTACAAAGAAAGAAAAACTGGGACCAAAGTCAATAGTAAAGCTTAAGACAGGTAAGTCCAAATAAAGATAATGCCAAAAATTTAAAACTGAAGGACAACAGGCATTAAAAGAAAAGGAAATTGGAGTTCTTCTGACTACCACCTGATCACAGGTCAGTAGGGTGGCATGGCTATTTCTTTTAAAAAAATTAATTACTGTGGTTTTCTGCAAGGGCTCAGTATGGATCAATACTGTATTCGGCTTTAGGAAGAACATTTCATAGTAACACAATGTGCGCACCAATAAAGTAGAGAATTACTGCCAAAAAAAACAGTGAAAAGTCTGGACACCATTTCATGTAGAGAAGTAAAAAAATTGATGAAGAATGAAAGGAAGGAGAAAGGGAAGGATGGAAAGGAAGAGAAGGCAAAGAGAAAACTGAAAATAGGTTGCAGACTGGCTTTTAAAAAGCTTGTTTTGTTCTAAGAATGGTGACTAATTAATAGTCTTAGGAAAATGCAGGTCAATTAGAAGTACTTGCTTAAAAAAAAAAAAGAAGAACTTCTGGCCAAGATGGAGGCATAGGTAGACACACTGTGCCCCCTTGCACAGCCAAAAGGACAACAACAAATTTAAAACAAAAAAAACCAACCAGAAAAGACAGAAAATTGAACTGTATGGAAGTCCTACAACCAAGGAGTTGAAGAAGAAACACTCATCCAGACCTATAGGAGGGGCAGAGATGGGCAACCGGGAAGAGAGGACTCATGGCAAGGTGGCAACTGGAGGACTGACTGGTGGGCAAGGTGGCACCTGGCAGACCAGGAGGTCCCCCATTTGCATGCAGATAAACCAGGAGGAACAACTGAGGAGGGAGACAGACCAAGCAACCCAGGGCTCCTGCCCAAGGAAACAAAAAGCCTCAAACCTCTGTCTGAAAACACCTGTGGGGGTTGCAGCAGCAGGAGAAACTTCCAGCCTCACAGGAGAGTTGTTGGAGAGACCCACAGAAACCTAGAAAGTACACAAGCCCACCCACAGGGAATCAGCACCAGAAGGGCCCACTTTCATTGTGGGTAGTGAGGGAAATGACTGAAAACTGGCAGAGAGTGGAGCAAGCAACGTTGTTTCCTCTCAGACCCCCTCCCCACATTCAGAATCACAACGAAGCGACATGGGTTGCCCCACCATGTTCACCATGGCTCCCCTCTTCACTACATAACAGGCCAGGCACATCAAGACCAAAAAGAATAATCCAAACAAAAGAACAAGTCAAAGCTCCAGAAAAAATATAACTAAGTGACAAAGAGGTAGCCAACCTATCAGATGCACAGTTCAAAACACTGGTGATCAGGATGCTCACAGAACTGGTTGAATATGGTCGCAAATTAGATGAAGAAATGAAGGCTATGCTAAGTGAAATAAAGAAAAATGTACAGGGAACCACCAGTGATGGGAAAGAAACTGGGCTCAAATCGACAGTGTGAACCAAATGAAAGAAAGAAATATTCAACCTGAACAAAATGAAGAAACAAGAATTCAAAAAAATGAGGAGAGGCTTAGGAACCTCCAGGACATCTTTAAGCATTCCAACATCTGAATCATAGGGATGCCAGAAGAAGAGGAAGAACATGAAATTGAAAACTTATTTAAAACATAATGAAGGAGAACTTCCCCAATCTGGCAAAGGAAATAGAATTCCAGGAAATCCAGGAAGCTCAGAGAGTCCCAAAGAAGTGGGACCCAAGGAAGAACACCTCAAGACACATCATAATTACATTACCCAAGATTAAAGATAAGGACAAAATATTAAAAGCATCAGGAGAAAAGGAGATAGTTACCTACAAAGGAGTACCCATAAGACTGTCAGCTGATTTCTTAAAAGAAACCTTACAGGCAAGAAGGGGCTGGAAAGAAGTATTCCAAGTCATGAAAGTCAAGGACCTCCATCCAAGATGGCTCTATCCAGCAAAGCTTTCATTTAGAATGGAAGGGCAGATAAAGTGCTCCCCAGATAAGGTCAAGTTGAAGGAGTTCTTCATCACCAAGCCCTTATGATATGAAATGTTAAAGGAACTTATCTAAAAAAAAAGAAGATAAAAAATATGAATAGTAAAATGACAACACACTCACAGTTATAACCAAACCTAAACCTAAAACAAAAACAAAAAGGAAACAAAATAAGCAAACAACTAGAACAGGAAGAGAATCATAGAAACGGAGATCACATGGAGGGTTATCAGTGGGAGTGTGGGTAGGGGGAGGGGGGGAAACGTACGGAGAATAAGTAGCATAGAAGGTAGGTAGAAGATAGATAGGGGGAGGTTAAGAATAGTATAGGAAGCCCTGGCTGGCGTAGCTCAGTGGACTGAGCACGGGCCTGCGAACCAGAGTATCGCGGTTCAATTCCCAGCCAGGGCACATGCCTGGGTTGCAGGCCAGTTCCCAGCAGGGGCCAGTTCCCAGCAGGGGATGTACCAGAAGCAATCATACATTGATATATCTCTCCTCTCCTTCCCTTCCCCTCTAAAAGATAAATAAATAAAGTCTAAAAAAAATAAAAAAAAAAGAATAGTATAGGAAATGTAGAAGCCAAAGAACTTATATGTATGAACCATGGACATGAACTAAAGGGGGGGAAATGCAAGTGGGAGGGGGTGTTCAGGGCAGAGGGGAACAAAGGGAAAAAAATGAGACAACTGTAATAGCATAATCAATAAAAAGTTTTTAAAATAGAAGAAGAAAGAAATGGTTGCTTGCAAAATAACACACCTCCTATCACTAAAATATTTCACTTTTCATGGAATGGTTGTGTTTTAAAGAGTATAAGAAATACCTGCAATCAATGGGAAAATGGATTACACTGCTGCTAAAATCCTTCCAAAGGCTCAGATTCTTCATTCTCATAAAGCTGATATGTTAAGTGAATAGATGTTATGTTGCCAGTTTCATTTGTTTCAAATGATGTACCCTTTTTCTCTTCAACTATCTCAACTATATTAACAAGCCACAGATTGCCAAAAACACTCTACAGAGCTCACTTCCAGAAGTATTAGGCTTGTCAATATAGATTCACAAAGATGAAGACAAACATCTATCAAAGAGCAAAGAACCGGGTGGTGTGAAAAAGTGTACCCTCATTTTGAAGTTGGCAACAGCACCACAAACAACATAAGTATAAAATACATCAAAGGGATAGAAACACATCTTGAGAGCCCCAGGAACGAAAAAAAAAGAAAAAAAAAAAACAAAGGGCCAAAAAAAAAGCAATGGTAAAGAAAAACGAATCAAATAAAAAACAACCCAATTTGAAAACATATTTGCCAATGATACCTCAGACAAAGGTTTAATCTCCAAAATATACAAAGAACTTACACGACTCCACGCTAGGAAGACATCGAACCCAATTAAAAAATGGGAAAAGGACTTGAACAGACACTTCTCTAAAGAGGACATACAGAATATCCAGAGACACATGAAGAGATGCTCAATATCGTTAGCTATCAGAGAGATGCAAATTAAAACCACAATGAGATACCACTTTACACCAGTCAGGATGGCTATAATAGACAAAGCAACAAACAACAAATGTTGGAGAGGGTGTGGGGAAAAGGGGACCTTAGTTCACTGTTGGTGGGATTGTAGACTGGTACAACCATTATGGAAAACAGTATGGAATTTTCTCAGAAAAATAAAAATTGACCTGCCTTTTGACCCAGCAATTCCACTGCTGGGATTATACCCCAAGAATCCTAAAACATCAATTTCAAAGAACCTATGCACCACAATGTTCATAGCAGCACAATTTACAATAGCCAAGAGTTGGAAGCAACCTAAAAAAAAAAAAAAAAAGATGTTCTGCCTATACATTACTTCCCACACAAAAACTTTGGAAAAGCCACAAGAGAATTCATTTTAATTAACTTTTCTATTCTCTGATTACAGGAAAGCCAATTTATGAGTCACAGAGGAAAGGTTCACTGTAGCCATTCCTTGCTAACACAAACTTAAAACAGGTCATCTGTGACCTCAAGTGATCACTTTGAAAAATATTCGCAGATTCTCTCCATTAGCTAAGCAGCATGGGGCTCAGATTCTAGGCAAAGGTCAAACCTCAATGATGGGATGGGATGGCCTGATAAATGAATCACTACACTGAAATCACAACACACTGCCAACTGGAGGTTTCTTTGTCTTTTTTTAATTGGCAGTTATGGAGACATTAGCTCACATTTATCTCTCCCTTGAATTCCCTAGGCATTTTATCCATACCTCTGTCAAACATCTTTCATCCAACCACTTTTAAACTATGACACTTCATACACTTGTTTTAACTCTCTTACTACACCATGAGCTTCTCAAAAGCAGGGTGCATCATGGTCACCACACATGTTGTAAGGGGATAATGGGGGAACTGAAATGCAGCCAGCACTGCTCTGGTCAAGCCCCGTGTCTAGGACTGCATCTGCCTTGAGATACGTTTTTTTTCTAATTTGCACAAAAAGATCTCTCTTTTTTTTCCTTATAATTCAGTGTCTTGCACAAGGAGAAATTCAGCTCAAGATTTCTTTTCCCTAAGAAGCCTCTCTTAAACAAAGAAAAGTTTTCATTCCTGCTAATCCTAAAATGGACTATGCTGATCTATAGAACTGTGAATTTAGTTAACATTATATATATATATATGTATATGTATATATATATATATATATATATATATATGTATATATATATATATTAAACCTAAATTCACTTCCTTCATCATTTCTAGAAGCCTGGGAGCGTTTCTAGAACCAGGATTGTGTGTCGGTTGGCCAGGCCACACCAGTTTTACTAATTGTATGACAAGAGCAATTAACACTTGCTGATGCTGTATGAATGAAGGAGGATGAAAGGCCTTACCTGTAAGCATGGAACCATGTCGCAACACAGCTGAAGTATCTGTTGTTCCAACACTGATGGCTCTTCTTTGTCACAAGGAGCCCAGGGTTGAAGTAAGACTTTTATCAGGGCTAGTCTGAGTTTAGCATATTCTTGTAACTGGGATGGTTCACAATAGAGATACCATAGAAATGGTGCCATTATTTGGACACACGAAACTTCTGACCTGCAAAAATTGTAACACAGAAGCCAGCCACTGAGTTAAAGAGTATCAAGCAGTGGAATATCAACTAATAGCTCATGACCTATCATATGTTATCACCAAGTTTAACTTTTTTTCATAATTCTCCTATTACATCATGACCTACCCAGACCCACACCAAACAGTTCTTTGTCCAGTGGAGAAAATGACTCAGCACCTGGAGACCATAAGCCTGATGGCCAGGAATAGGAGAGTCTCTACCTGCACACTAGACCAGCATCTACATCTCAGTCTTTGGTGAACAGCAGAATCATCTGAGAGCCTGTTTAGACTCACAGATGTTAGGGCCCATTATCCAGTAATATGCCACAGGTGTACATTTTTTTTTTAAAACTCTGTAGTTGTGATTCTATGTAAAACAAAGCCATAGTAACAACCCAAGAAGACTGTAACAGTTAATATTTACTTGTGAACTTGTTAACTGGAGTGCAAGTAACTGTACTTTATGCTTTTAGAGTAATTTAATCCTCAACACAACTCTGTAAAATAAAAAACATTGGGTTGGTCAAAAAGTTCATTTAGTTTTTTTCCATAAAATAAAACACATTTTTCATTTTCACCAATAAGTTTATTGATTTCGATATTTCAAGTATGACAGCTATCTCCCACACACTCAAACTGGTATGAGGTTGACTGTTTTCAATTAATGTCTTGATGTGATTGCTATCAATTTCAATTGGTTTACCCAACTGTGAAGCATCATCCAGTGAGAAACCTCCAGCACGAAATTTGGCAAACTACTTTTGACACCTTTGATCAGTCACAGCACCTTCTCCATAAACTGCACAAATTTTTTGTGTGTTTTAGTTGCAGTTTTACCTTTCCTGAAATAATAAAGCATCATATGCTGAAAATATTGCATATTTTCTTGCATCTTCAATATATTAAAATGGCTACACAAAAATTCATTGATTTTGATAAGTTTTCTTTTAAATGCGCAGCTATCACAATACAATCCAATAACATTGTTTTTTAATGAACTTAAAAACAGCTAAGTACTACTAAAGCCAGCTTACGGAAAAACAGAACAAACTTCTCGGCAAGCCCAACACTGTATCACATGCAGCAACTGAGGCCGACAGAGGTGAAGTAATTTACCAAGGCCATCTACTGAAGGTTTTCCCACTCAAAAGAGGAAGACCTTACCAATCTTTTGGATCTTTAGATTTCAATATATCCCAATAATTCCAAGTCCAAAGCCACTAAAATGCCAAAGGACCTTTCAAATATAAAAATTTTATCATGTCATTAACTAGTTTAAAGGAGTTTACCCTTAAGATAAAACACTTAGCCCAATTCACAAACCCTCCATATTTTGGCCACTGCTTATCTTTCCGGCCTTATTTTTGCTCTTCTCCACTCTCCACTGACCACTGAACTATCAGATCTCTTGTCATCAGGCTTCTCTTTTCACTTGCTGTTCCCTCTGTCTGTAATACTGTCCTCTTGCTTCCTTCCCTGTTCCTTTCTCTACCTAATTTCTATCATCCTTCAGGTCTCTCCTTTAAAAGCACTTCCTGAGGGCCTTCCCTGACACCTAACCTCGGTCGGAGCCCTATTTTGTGCTCCCACAGGACAACGACTTCATCATTTTTTTTCAATGTCTCTAACCCTTGTCAGACTATAAGCCAAATGAGGGCATGGAACATGGGTTTCTGTTCACTTCTGTATAACCAATAACTACACACAGTAGGCCTTTAACGAGGTGCTTATTTGATTACTAAATTCAGTTACACGAAACTGTAGAGTAGCTTTACAATTTAGCACATATCAATTAAATCATTATTTTGTTTTGCATATTTATTATACATAAGAAATTATTAGGTAAGATACAAAGATGAACCAGGCATTATCTATTCTTAAGAATCTAACAGAACAATCACTTCTGTTCCTGGACTAGAGGACAGAAAGTGAAAATCACTAAAAGAAAGATATAAAGTGCAGTGCCGCATAGAAGAAATAGTATTTGCATTAGGATTTATTTACTTATTTACTTACTTAATTATTTATCTGTTAGAGATAGAGGGGCAGGGAGGGAGAAAGAGAGAGAGAAACATCGATGTGAAAGAGAAACCAGGCATGTGCTCTGACTGGGAATCAAACCAGCAACCTTTCACTTTGCAGAATGACACCCAACCAACTCAGTGAATCAGTGAATTATGATTGACCATGTAATTTTATAATACTATTCATTTTACAGCAAAGTGATTTCAAAACACTACCACTAGTAAAAGCCTTAAAGTTACCATATTAGTAAGACTTAATTAATTTATTCATTTATTTATTCTCTAGGCAATATGTACTTAATACCTATACATCATTCACTCTTCTATGTACCAGAAACAAAAATAGATTAAATCCTTGTTCTGATGGAGCTCACAATCTGTAGGTATATTATTTCCTCAATAGCACACATACTTACACAATCTATAAAAAACAGAAGAAGGACTTTCTTGAGTTCGTAATTATTACTGAAACATATCTTTATCACACCACCCAGTTTGGAAAACTAAAAGCAGTTTCACAGATCAAGCAATTTATTCTGAGCTAGACTACGAAGCACAGGTTTCCAGAAAAGAGAGTTAGAAAGTTTCCCCATCTCTCTAACGATGTGTTCCCAAAGAGTGAATACAATCCAGGTGTCAACAATATCCACTACCAGCTTATCGGCTTTCTCCTACTTTGAGATGCGGAAGGTGAAATGCAAGATTCATATAGAGAAGTATATTTCCAAGGTACTGTTATTACTTGACATCGGGAGCAGAATGTTGAACTTTCTTAAGGACAATATAGTATTACACTATTTAGAACTCTTCCTGGCTTAATCTGTCCCAATTTTGAATATTGCATTTCCTTTGCATTTCCTATGTGGTATCTAATGATTAACTATAAATTCAGTATGCATAAAATTGACAGGACTTATGAGAAAAAAGAAAATAATAAAACATAACCAGAAATCCCAAAGTGATTAAGAATATTTAAAAATGTAACCAAGTGTGTATTCCTACATAGTTCAATTCCTTCCAAGTTCGATTCCTACATATACATCTTTCATATTTCTGTTTACCATTAAGAGAGAAGTGGCGAGAAAAGACCTGGAATAAGAATAACAAACTGAGGCTTTTGGCCCCATTCTGCCATTCACTAGCCATGTGACCTTGAACAAGTCATTTAATGTTGCTCTCCTTAGTTCCCTCATGTGAAAAAAACATGTTAGGCTATATAACCTTGAAGTATACAGGTCTAAAGACCATAACATCCCTGTCAATTTACATGATTCTCAGTTCCATGAAGGTGAAGTTTTAACATTATAGGGCCTTCCATAAATGAATACAGAACTTAATCATAAAGTAACACCCCTCTAAAACCTTGCATAATGATCTACTGTTATTTCCAGACAAACACATACTATTAAAAATGAATGCAGCCCTCACTGGTATGGCTCAGTGGACTGAGCGCCAGCCTATGAACAAAGGATCACCAGTTGGGTTCCCAATAATAAAATAAATAAATTAAAAGGGAACAGGGGAAAAAAATAAAATATTTTGTCACTTTTAAGATTTAGTAAAAATTGCCATAGCTGGTGTAGCTCAGTGGATTGAGTGTGGGCCTGGGAACCAAAGGGTCACTGGTTCGATTCCCAGAGCACATGCCTGGGTTACAAGCCAGGTCCCCAGTAAGGGGGCACACGAGAGGCAACCATACATCCATGCTTCTCTCCCTCTCTTTCTCTCTCCCTTCCCCTATCTAAAAATAAATAAATAAAATATTTTTAAAAAACTAACAGGCTGACAGTGTTCAAGGGGAGAGAGGAGGGAATTTCAGGGGAAAAAAGGAAGGGTTTACAAGAACAAGTGAAAAAGACACATGGACAAAAACTAGGAAGGTGGAAATGGGAGGGGGGGGCCGGGTGGGTGGGCTGGGATGAGAGTAAAAGACAGAAAACTGTACTTGAACAACAATTTTAAAAAAAACTGAATGCAAACAGCTAGTCTAATCAATAATTCCCAACACAGAAAAATATAGATTACAAGCTATCTCCACAATACTTTGTCTCCTTCCCATAGTTACAAATCACTATTTAGATTATTAAATTATCTACCTTCTTTCTTTTTTAAATTATATTTTATTGATTATGCTATTAAAATTGTCTGAATTCTTTTCCCCTTTGCCACCCTCTACCAAGGACCCCCAACTCCTTCAGGCAATTCCCATACCATTCTCCATGTCCATGGGTCATGTGTGTAAGTCCTTTGGCTACTCCATTTCCTATACTGTACTTTACATCCCCATGGCTATTCTGTAACTACTTATTTGTACTCAATTGCCTCACCTCTTCACTCATTCCCCCAACCTACCCAACCATCAGAATGCTCTCTGTATCCATAATTCTGTCTCTGTTCTTCTTGTTTCCTTAGTTTTTCAGATTCAATTGTTGATAGACATATATTCTTTGCCATTTTATTGTTCATAGTTTTCATCTTCCTTCTTTTCTTACACAAGTCCCTTCAACATTTCATGTAATAATGGTTTGATGATGACTCTTTAGGTTGTTAGTTTTGGGGGATTTTTGTTTTGGGAATTTTTTTTTTGTATGGGCAGCTCTTTACCTGCCCTTCAGTTCCAAATATAGCTTTGCTGGGTACAGCAATCTTGGCTATGGGTCCCTGCTTTTCATGACTATGAATATTGCTTGCCAATCCCTTCTAGTCTGCAAAGTGTCTCATGGAAACTCCCCTATAGGTAATTGGCTGCTCTTCTCTAGCTGCTTTTAAGATTCTCTCTATGTTTAACCTTTGGCATTTTAATTATGATGTGTCTTGGAATGGGCCTCTTTGCATATATCTAGTTTGGGACTCTCTGTGCTTCCTGGATTTGCATGTTTATTTCCTTCACCAAACTGGGGAAGTTTTCTTTCATTATTGTTTCAAATAGATTCCAATTTCTTCTTCTTGCTCTTCTCCTTTTGGCACCCCTATGAAGTTGTCCCAGAGGTAGCTTACACTATCCTTGATATTTTTATTCTTTTTTTCTTGTGGTTCAGATTGGTTGGTTTGTTTTTTTTTTTATGTTCCAAATCATTGATTTGACTCTAGGCTTCGTTCACTCTACTGTGGTTTCCCTGTAAATTGTTCTTTATTTCAATTTGTATACTTCAGTTCTGACTGATTCTTTTTTATGCTGTTGACATCCTAAGTTCCTTGAGAATCCTTATAACTAGTGTTTTGAACTCTGCATCTGATAGATAGTTTATCTCCATTTTGTTTAGTTCTTTTTCTGGAGTTTGATCTGTTCTGTCAATTGGCCATGTTTCTCTGTCTCCTCATTTTGGCAGCCTCTCTGTGTTTGTTTTTATGTATTAGGTAGAGCTGCTATGACCCTCTGTCTTGGTAGCATGTCCTAAAGTAGTAGGTGTCTTACAGGATCCAGTGGCACAGGCTCCCCTATCACCGAAGCTGGATACTTGAGTTGTGCCCTCTATTTGGTCTGAGTACACCTTCCTCTTGTAGTTGAGCCTTGATTGCTGTTAGCAGGTGAATAGGAATGATTTACCCAGGCCAGTCAGCTACAATGATTGGCTGTGACCACTGACCACCAACCTCTGCCCTCTATGGAGGATCAGCTGTGCAGGAGCAGCGTGTTATGCTTTGACATGGTCTATAACTATCCACTGGATACCCGCGCTCTGGGGTTTCCTGGGTGGTGCAGGCCAAGATCAGCTCCCACCTATGTTCTGCCCAGGGCCACCCAGTAGAGCTATAAAGCAATCTGAGATGGATGCTGTTTGTGCTGCACTTGGAGATTCCCAAGCAAAGCCAAGCTATGAATCTAGACTGGCTGCTGCAAGTGCTGGACCTGGGACCACTTAGCAAGAGGTGTGGGAGCTGAGGAACTAGGGGTTCACTGAGGCCAGCTGTTGCTTGTTTGACAGGATTTAGGAAGTTGTGAAGCAAGAGCCTAGACCACCCATTCATATTTAAGAGTCATCATAGCAGTTTCAGTGGCCCCGTAAGTTGGATGAGAGAGAGTCTCAGGGGATCTCAAGGGCAAAGCAAACAGTGTTAGCCAGGTAGATAGAGTCTCAGATACGGCACCTGCCTGCCGGCTCTGTGGCTCTGTGGCTCTGTGGCTCTGTGGAGGGAGGGCTCAGAAAAGAGAAGATGGCCTATGCCTGCTCTTTTGTCTGGGAGGAAGCTGTCCCTCAGCACCTGCTGACGCCGGGCACTTCAGTTTCCCCAGTGTGCCGCTGGGGCCTTTCAAGCTCCTACCCCAGTATCCACCTTCTTTCTAAACAACAACTTAAAACTGCTAAGTTAACTTACCCTAAAATTAAACCTGAAGAAAACTAACAGTCTGCTCAAAATGCAATCACAATTACAATTTCTAATGCAAAGAATAATCTTATAGTGCAAAAGTAGAAATGAAGCAACTGTGGTTATTTTTATAAATAAATATAAAATAATTTAGAACTTCCAAAAGGCTCTAGATAGCATATCCTAATACCTGAGAATTTAAATGAAAAGAGCAAGTCAATAGAAGCTTATCAGTAAATAAACCAAAGTCTATTAGTAATATTTTGTTTCTTATGAATATCTGGACAAATTTCATTAGAATAAATATACCCAAATCCCAAAACAATACTCCTTTAAAATGAAAATAGCCAAAAGCTAAATTAATTACCTGTCAATTAAAGTACTGAAAAAGAGATTCTTAACAAGCTTACTGACGAATTGATCAAACTAGCAGCAACATCCTTTAAAAACTATCCCCATCTATTTAATAAGAGAAATGTCATTAAACAAATGTGTTTATTATGAATTTGTTATTTTTGATTTCTAACATAGTTGATGAAAGACTTATTTAGTAAATACTAATCCTACCTTTGAAAATGCAGTCCTAGGTGAGAGAAGAAAGGATAATGATGTTTATTTTTGGCTTTTCATTTAAATGGCACATGGATTTCCTTACTGGGAGATGATTACAAGGCTTCCTATATCTCTTTAAAACTTCCTATACCACTATATCCTGCCTAGAAATTCCATCTAAAATTGAAGTTATGGACTCAAGTGGTATTCTAAGAAACCGCATCTTGGGGTACTGTAAAAACTTCAAGAGCAGGAAAACATGAATCAAGTTGGTATGGTGAACGGAACTCAGGCACTGGATTACTCTAGACAATGGTATCCTATCATGACCTTGCATGATGGTACTATGTATATATTACATAGTAGGAGGAACGCTACAACCCACTGCCTGGGCCCACAGGTCCGTGAGTTTCATGTATGTAAATCCAACACTTACAGAGCACTTAGAAATCTGCCAGTCATTATTAACTCAAAAAAAAAATGACACAGTCTTATATATGCCCTCAGGAAGGTTTCACAGTTAACAGAGGAGAGTTAATTATAAGACAATGGAGTGAATATAATGATGTAAGAAATCACAACTAAAATTATGGGAGCATATAAAAAATACCTGAGTCCGTGGTAAGCAATGACCTTCTAAGAGGGCGAAAGCCTAAACAGAGTTTTAAGAGAGAAATTCGGAAAGGGTTGTGGTGAGGTTTAAGAGATGAAGGTGGGCGCCCTGGCTGGTGTAGCTCAGTGGATTGAGCGCGGGCCTGCGAACCAGACACTCGCGGTTCGATTCCCAGTCAGGGCACATACTGAGGTTGCAGGCCAGTTCCCTGCAGGCCAGTTCCCAGCAGGGGATGCATGAAAGGCAACCATACATTGATGTTTCTCTCTCTCTCTCCTTCCCTTCCCCTCTAAAGATAAATAAGTAAATAAATAAGTCTTTAAAAAAAAAAAGAGATGAAGGTGGGTACTAACACACAGAAGCACAGAGCCAATGGAATAGCACTGCTTCCTGTGCGGAAGTCAGGATATTGCTGAATACACAAGTCATAAATTGTGAGATAAAGATAGAAGATAAAATTGATGAAACAGGTGAAACCATATCATACACAGAGCCTAGAATAATATACTAGATTTCATCTTGTAGCCTGGGGACTTTCCAACTATTTCTGAAACCAAATTCTCTTTTTTAAAAAATACAAAGCTTCCATAAGCTTAGAACATATAAGTTCTATAAAAACAGACCAGAAGTGGGCAGGGGATTCCCCGTACTTAGCCCATACATTGCAAGTGCAGTATGAAAACCACAGTTGTGGTGATTTAAGTAAAGGATTTGTACAATAATATCTGCTCCCTTGATCTATCACTCTGATGGGTGTGCAGAGAATGGATTTGAGTAACATAAAATTAGAGGCAAAGACGTCAGTCACATACGAGTGGCAAAAGCCAAAAGATGGTGACCTAAGCCGCTGTCATGGTAATAAGGATGGAAGAAAGGGGGTAGCATGGAGGAACATCAGGAGGTCTTGATAAAAATAAACTAACTGCTCATATGGTTGCTATCTAATCTCAGCTGGAACGATCACTTGATCCCAATGGGCAGGTTTCAAACAGGGAGAGTTTAACGCACTAATCAATTTGCAGGGTAGGGGGAGGAGCATTCTTCTGAATGGATTGTGTAGGGAGTATCAAGGCTTTATACCCCATTTTATATTATTGCTATAGGAGAAACTAATTAATTTATGTTCTTTTGTTTTACACTAATTGTTTAACACAACTATTAAAATGATTTGTCATTAAATGTACAGTAGTTCAATGAATATTTCTAATAAACTTTCCTAACTAACCAATGCTTAACTTCTTTAATAATAGCTTGCCTTATATTTAAATTTTAAACAATCAATAAATGTGATAGATTTTTATTTCTTTACTCTTAAGAAAATATAAAAGTATACATGCTTAAAGACATTTCTTCAGCCAAAGCAGCTTAAAAAGAAAAACCAATATATATAATTAGCACATACTATTCCATCACCCTCAGTTATTTTACTTTACATTACCTTTCAGGGCATTGCTGGAAAAAAGCTGTCAGCTGCTGCAAAAGTACTGGCCAGCAATCAGGTCTGTGTTCAAGCACCGTGATCAAAGGCTGAGGGTGACTTCTGAAACACAAAGAAAAGCCACATTGGAAACTGTCATTTCAGGACTATACATTCTCAATATCCAAATACAGCAGGAAAAAAAAAGCCAATGCCATCTAGAGACTTTTTTTGCAGGATTCATAATTGTCATAAAATTATCATCTGCTTCATTTGTTGGTAAGTTGGTTTGTTAGAACTGACATTTTTTCTTTTAAACTGTTTTTGCAAAAAATAGAATGAACCTCAAGTCTTAGAGACCCAGAGCTGAGAATGGACTGTGCCACTCAACCTAGCTCCTGAGTCCAGTAGCTCTCTCATCTGTATCCCCTGATTCCTTTACTCCTAAAACTCATGCCTCCTTCTCCTGCTACTCTCCTTAAGAACCTGGAAGGTTCCATTTTCTCTAACATCACCCCAACTTATAAGCACTATCTCTTTTCTGTCCCCACTTACCCATTTTTCTCAGGGTACGACTCCGTGTTCCCTCAGCATATTTAAGATGAGAAAAAGAAAATATTCCTTCCACCTCAAATAACAATCTGTCCAAATTGAAAATGCTTGAAATTTCTCTTGAATGAGAACGAATCTTTTTATTTGGGCTACATTCATTAAGATACCTAAAAAATCTATATAAAACATAAAATCTGAAATCTGAAGAATTCTTAAATAAGAAAAAGAATAAAAGCACAAGTTATTTTAAATAGCTCAAAGAGTCTATAAGAAACTCTAAATTCATTAGAATCTTAAACTCTGAAGCACTATATACAAAGTATTTAGTTAGCATGGATGTGGCTTTTTCCTCCAAAGAATTTTAAAAGTAAAATGTAAATGGTCATTATAAATTCAAAAAGAGACGTATCCATGTTTTTAATATAAAAGGAATCAAATACATAATATAATTTTTAACTGAGCAAAATATTACTAGTAATGATTTAAAGAAAATAAAAAGAAGCAGACTAGTTTCACTGAAATGGTTTTTTAAGACAGCCATCTAGGTAGTTCTGAAAGAGTGATCACCTTACCAGCAATATCAGCATCACCTGGGAACCTATTAGAAATGTAAATAAATCCCAGGCTCCAGCCCAGACCTAACAGCCCTCCAAATAATTCTGATGCAGAATTCTATAAAACAGTGGTTCTTAACCATTGCTGCAAGTTAGATTCATCTGTGGAGCTCCTTTAAAAAATACCAACATACAGGTCTCAATTATACTCAGGTTGCTGGAAATGGAGAGCCCAGGCATTAGTGATTTTTAAAAACTCCTCTAGCAAGTTTAATGTGTTGCCAGGGTTGAGAACCACTAGCAGTAAACCACCACAGACGAGGAAAGTTGTTAGGAATTAGAAAGCTGTCTGATTTTTGTTTTCTCTCTTAAACAGAAAAGTATGTCACATCCATCACATTCGAACACTCATCTTAAACACCTCTCTGACACTACTACACAGTTCTGGCTATTATAACACCATCTATTTATTTTCTCCTCAACCTCACCTAATCTATCACACACTAACGTCACTCGCTGGCAGCATGTTTTGCTTAAAACACAGGCTATTTCTGACTGATCAGGTTACTACCATTACAAGGAATCACTCTAATCAATTTGTTTATGCCAAAACTCAAAAATCATATAGAAATCACATTTCTAAATTTCAAATTCTTTGGCAGTTAAACCTATGTTGGTAGAACTTGCTTCTACTATGGTTGACACTGATACTTAATGACAAATTTAACAAATCCTAAAAGCATCTCAGGTATGACACATCAACTGATATTCTTAAATGAAGAGTTCAGTAGGTCATGTTCAAGTAAACATGAGTAAAAAGAATAGTACAGCAACTGCAATTATTTTATCTATGTTTTTTACTTCTGAAAAGCACTATAATGAAATAAGAAGCCAGCTAGTGGTGGCATTTATGACAACTTAAAAAGAAAATCAATGTCTCTGATGGCAGGGTTGGCTGGAATGGGGGTAAAAGGCAGAAAACTGTACTGGGAACAACAATTTAAGAAAAAAAGAAAATCAAACAAGTTACCACACAGTTTTTGTGTGATCACAAAGCACGTAAGTGCTTCTTAATACACTCCCCTTATAAGTAAGTCATCCTCCACCCCTTCCCGCTCCTCATGCCCCCAAAATGTTAAATATCTATCTCCTTTTTAAAAGTTAGTTTTGATCAAAGAGTCACTGCTTTGATTCCCAGTCAGGGCACATGTCTGGGCTGTGGGCAGTGTCTCCAGTAGGAGGTGCATGAGAGGCAACCACACCCTGATGTTTCTCTCCCTTGCTCCTTCCCTTCCTCCCTCTCTAAAAAATAAAATCTTTTTTAAAAATTTTAAAATAAGGTATTTCAGCATTTAAAATGTCATAAGGCTGAGTATAGTTCACTCTTCATATATTCAAGGATTAATTATTAAATTCATGGATTACTAAGTTTTTTCTTTCTTACTCTCTCACTCAGTGCTTGTTAGCCATTCCACTTCTTTCAAGCACATTTAACTGAGAAAGGTCAAGGTAAAATGAAAAACTCACAATTTAAATAAGTCAACTTTGCTCTTTTTAGAAGCATTGTTGATCAAAAAACAAATAATGTGGTACAAAAAAAACACCAAAACAAAACCTGGGTTATACCTAAAAATTTCAATTATCCTCAAGCTTACTATTCAAGTTACAGTTAGTTTACTATACTACTTCATTCAAAATGATAGATGGGTTCACCATACAATCAACCTGATCACTGGTAAAACAGTGGCAGATGATAAGCTATTCAAGTTTTGATAAACAAATTTGGGGCATTGTTATTGTTATTATTATATATAACCAATGCTTACATAGTATCATCAAAATCATTTACTCATATACCGCCACTTTCTTGTCTCAGAAAAAAATACAAGTGGAGAGATGAGGTGAAATAATAGAGGAAAGCATTGATTCAGAATCAAGAGTTCCAAATTTACATTCTGGCTCCGCAACAAATTGTGTGACCTCAGGCAAGATAATTAACCTTTCTTAGGCAATTTCTTTACCTGTAAAATAAGGAAATCAGGCTAAGTACCTTCTAGGGCTAAAGTTATATAACCCAAGGCATCCATTAAAGCCCTAACCTTCATACTGCTCAGAACTAGAGGTAGAAACAAACCTTGTAAAAGCAGAAAGCAGTGAAGACAGCTCTCAACTATTAATAATTCTATGTCAAGTTAAAACGGCTCTAAGAACAATATCTATTAAAATCTGAGACCTAAAAGAAGAGGTATCCTATTTTTATCTTAAAGAGATAAATCAGCCTATATATTTTTTATTTCAGAGAGAAGGGTTGCAATGAGGAGCCCACAGAAATTTTTAGATAAGAATTTTCTAACTCTTGAGACATCTGCTTTCTTCTTAAAAGAGAATAAATAACATTGTTTTAAAGATTAAAATCAATACGAACCGGGCAGCCAGGTCACCCTTCATTGGCCTTTAGTGCCTCTAATCTCTCCCTCACTGTGTGTTGTTTTTCTCCTCCTACCACAATGAATGAATGTGTTGTACATTCTTTGGCACTTCACTTCCCTATTTCATAATTTGTAAATGTTTTAATGGCTATTTTAAAGAAAGCATTTACCATAGTACCAGCACGCAGCATACTCCATAAATGGGATACTATGATGATTATCATGCAGGTAGGTTTGTATCTTATACTAGAGCAAAAGCAGATTGAAAGCTGGGTCTATGCCTCGTGCCCTTTGTTTCCCTTTCAGTATTAAATGCACATCTACAATAAATGTCACACGCACACACACATTTCCCCCAAACCACATTTTTAAACTCTGATTGGATCATTAAACCAAGTTATCACAGCCCCACTAGTACACTGTTTCAAAGTCCATGTTGATTAAAGAAAAAAACACAAGAAGCATTCAGAACTGGAACCTAATACTTCAGTGCTCCCACCCTTTAGTAATATTTTCAACACACTGCAATACGTGCATCTTAACAGAATGGGGGAAGGAGGAAGGATTAATTCATGGTTCCACCAGACTAGCACAGAAGTGATGGTCAACTGAGGTGTGTAACAAGATTCACCTCTCCAAGTGCATTAATCTTAACAGAAAAGAGTAGTTAAAAATTAGTCCTGTGATATAGGCAAACCAAAAAGCAAAAGTTATTTGTAACCTTTAGGTCACCTCAACTTCTCTGCTACATCTCTAAATATAGGAAAGCCAAGATTTGATTTACATCATAAATTCAACGATAGACAGAGAATGCCTTTCTGTGTGAGGGGAAAATGCCTGCAGTCACCATGCCTTTTCTGTGTGCAGCTGTGACCCTGGCACTTCCAGAAGCACAGCATAGCACTTACTACATCAAATATGCATTTTAAAAGCTATTCTCTACCTGCTCTGAATTTTGATTTGAATGTACTAGTTAGAAGCCAAAAAGGGATTTTTTAAAAGCTCTGTAGATTTTAAGTTAAAAAAATACCTACTAAAAAATTATGAAGACTCCACACTGAATATTACTATAAAATAAAACAATAATTATGACTCATTATATATTCTATACTGTTTTAAGAAAAAACGTTTTATCCTTTCCATACAAGTTCCAAGAAAAACAATTGGAGCAAAAATGCTTTTTTTTTTTGACATTTTTGACTAAATTTATTTTTTCTTTGGATAAGGTAAATAAGGAGAGTATAGCATTTATTTGAAAATACATATGCTTCATTTTATGATGATTCTGCCCTCATGATGAACTTTCACAGAATCCCTGTTTTGAGGGGAAGGGATTTTTCTCAAATTTATTGCAGTGACACTGGTTAATAAAGTTATGTAGGCTTCAAGTGTGCAATTCTATGATATATCATCTTCATAGGATCAGGAGTTTAATGCAAAGGTGTCTGCCAGTGTCAAAAGTATGGGGCTATTTTAGGTATAGAGCCACGGCTGGGGGAAAACATAAAAATACGGAGCTAGGGATACAGAGCTTATATTACTAAGTTACATGCATGAATGCAAAAATAAAGTAAAAAACAAAAACAAA